CCATGGTGCAGCCCAGTTTTTAAGAGAAAGATTGTTTGAGGCATCAGATCCATATCAGGTTCATGTTTGCAATCTTTGTGGAATAATGGCAATTGCTAACACCAGGACCCATACATATGAATGCAGGGGCTGCCGCAATAAAACCCAGGTGTGTATAGACTTGATCTTTTTTTCTTTTTAAGGAAAGGAACTCAGATTGTGGGCTTTTTAAAAAAAAAAATTTAATTGTAGGTGGACACAATATCTTTATTTTTTTTTTATTTATATGTGGTGCAGAGGATTAAACCCAGGGCCTCACATGGGCTAGGCGAGCGCTCTATGGCTGAGCTACAACCCCAGCCCCTGATCATTTTTTTAAGGATATAATCATGTAAGGCTGTTTATCCAGGCAGATTGAGTGTGGTGGGACAGGTTTTCCTTTTCACAATTTTGGTAACATACCTCTGTGAGATGCCTACTTTTTTTTTTTTTAAATTTGTTCCAATTAGTTATACATGATAGCAGAATGAGAGATGCCTAGTTTTAGAAGGAAAAATATTTAGATTTTTCCAAATCAGCTGAAGTTTGATATAATCTATCCAAGTTGTTCATGTCTTTGAAATAATAAGGCCTTGCATAGGAATTTTAAACAATGAATTTTTCTTAAACCGTTCAAGGAGGTGAATACAAATTGTGCCTGGCAAAAAAGCTACAAAACAACACAGTTCAAGGCCAGCCTGGGCAACATAGCAAGAAACAAAACAGCCTGCTAGGAGGAAGGAGCACCATGAAGCAAGGTGGCAGGATAGGTGGTCACTTCAGTGCTGCTCATTCACTTGCCATCTACAGTACCAAATCCTTAACCTGTTTCTCGGGTAGAGAAATGGGGTCACTTGCATACAGTCTGCTAATTACTATTTATTTTTTCTTTTCAGATTTCTTTGGTGCGAATGCCTTATGCGTGCAAGCTGTTGTTTCAGGAACTTATGTCTATGAGTATTGCACCTCGAATGATGAGTGTTTAAATCTTTTAAAGGATTCTCAACCACATTGTTGTAAATGTCCATGTCTTGCTGGGCACAGTGGTGCAGGACTGTAATCACAGCAATGTGGGAGGCTGAGGCAGGAGGATGGCAAGTTCAAGGCCAGCCTCAACAATTTAGCTAGACCGTATCTATCTACAAATAAATAAATGAATAAAAAGACTGAGGATGTAGCTCAATGTTGGAGCACCCCTGGGTTTTATCCACAGTACAAAAAACAACAACAAAAAAAACCTGTTTTACTTCTATGATATGGCTTTAAAAAATGACAATGTATTGAGTTGCGATAGAAAGCATTTTATTTGTTTTGTTTAATGATATGCATGTTTTTCTTCTGTAAATAGACAATAAAGTTTTGTAGATAGTCTTGATGTGTTGTCTTTAATTGGTATCCTGTGTTAAAACAAGTGACTATAACTAAAGCATTAGTGAATTGGATTAGAGAAACTTGTTACTAGGCAAGAACAGGGTTGTAGTTATTTGTGACTACTTTTAGCTCTTGTTGAGTAATATTTTTTTTAGGTTTATAGTTCAGCACCTTCACCTGTTAAAAAGATAAAAAGATAAAAATTAGTTGCATGTATGGACATGGTTGACTTTCTAATTAGCATTTAGTTCAGTGTTTCCAAATAAATAAAGATGCTAAAATGCATAAATAAAGGGTTAGGCATGGTGATTTGCACTTGTTGTCCCAGTTACTTTGGAGGCTTTGGCAGGAAGATCTCTTGAATCTGGAGTTCAAGGCCAGCCTGGGCAACATAGCAAGACTCCATCTCTACCTTGGGATAAGGGATATATTGGGTAATAGTATAAATGATATGCTGAGGTCCTCCTGGGAATTTTAGCTATACAACGTTAGATGTGGAAGGCAGTTCTGCTATATTGATCCATGTAAAAAAGAGGACCTTATTATAGGCCTGGAAGAGCACATTTCACAAACACCATGTTGAGGTCCAACAAGGTTAAGGAACTTAACTTCGTGGTCCAGCTCTCATTAAAAAATAAATGCCATGTGGATAGAAAAGATTATGGGAAATACAAGCAATTCCAGTCAGGTTTGAGTTTTGACTCTACTTGAAGATAAGGTGAAAGCTTCTAAGTCATAATATTGGCCTTCATCAACCATCCAAATACTCTTTTGGAACCACGTATTCTACATTTTAATGGCATATTTAATGCCCTTGGGGATTCCTGACTTTACTGAATTTTTATTAATAGTTTTTTTTAAAAAAAATATTTATTTAGTTGTAGATGAACACACAGTATATTTATTTTTATGTGCTGCCTAGGATCCAACCTAGTGCCTCACACTTGTCAGGCAAGCACTTTACCTTGAGCTATAGTCCCAGCCCCCTAATGATATGTTCGATGCTTTGATTCTTGGTTCTGTTTATTAAGCAAATCACTAGTTATTCTTTCAAGTGGCTGTGAGATTGATTATATACCTTTTTTCACTGGTATTTCATGTAAAGCATCAACCACTGTAATTTTTGCTGATGCAGAAGCCTGTCCTTGGGAATTGGATGCATGGCACTCATATTCTCCAGCATCTTCCTTACTTAGGGGAGATACCTGTGGGGAGAAAAAGGATCTTTAGTTCTTCTGTGGTGGCTTTTTTTTTTTTTTTTTTTTTCCTTTTAGTAGCTTCCATTATATCATAGTTTCCTAAGATGACCAAAGAATTTTAGTAAAGATACTATTAGAAGTAGTGCAAGTCCTGTGCTGGAAGACTTATGGTCTGTTGAGAGGATTCATACTCTGAGGAAATGTCATGGGCAACTTTTGAAATATTGTCGAAGTTAAAAACTAGATAGGTGCACATACCAATGTTAGGGAAACCTTGATATTTCTAAGTAGTATCTGAATATCAAATGTAAACTAAAATATTCATTAGTCACTACTCAATTAAAATAATGCTTGGGTCATTTAGTTTCCCATAAGAATTTTGATTTGAACTTTTAGGAAAAATTTTTTTGAGTTCTTATTAATTCATTGGTTGTTTCTAAAACATCCAGTCAACTTCAACTCTTCTTTTATTTAGTTCCCTTTGAAATGGGACCAATGACCGACTCCTTGGTCAGGCTGTTCCAGAGATGTGGAAGAGGAAGTACTTTTCAGGCTGGCAGGACACTGGGTACATTTACCAGGGCTGTGAGTGTCTAATCCTAAGAACAAAATTCTTGTCAGCTCTTGGTACTCACCAGCACCCAGCCAGTTACTTCATGCTTTTCTGGGCCACCCCGGGTCTGAATGGCCAGGTTGTCCCGGTCACCAGGCAAGAGTTCTGTCCTTTGAACTCCATACTGACCCCTTTGTACCTGCAAAAACACAAGGAAAGTCAGCTGTCTGCATCAAAACATCAACTTGGAAATGGCTACATTTCCAAAATTGCTCTTGGTGGTCATCAGACATTCTCATTGGGTTAAACCCAGCACTTTACCTACAAGTTCCCTTTACCCAAATACTTGTAAAACAGAAGTCCTCTTAATTCCTCTATTCCCCTGTAAGCAGCATGTTTTAAACAAAAATAATGTGCTTCTCTACACGCTTGGAGAATGTACGAGGCCAGCCTTTCCTGCCACTGGCTGCTATCACTCACCCAGGCCCTTAGAAATTCTGCTCCTCAGTACTGGGCCTTTCTTGCCTAACAGGCCATGTTAGACTGACAGTCATCTAGTGCTAGATGCTTGGGGTCCTTGGGGCTGTTCCTGTAACAGCCTAATGAATGGATAAATACTAGCTAGAGTCCAAAGCTAGTTCTATTACTTTGTTCTGAGGGCTAAGTATTCATCAAATGATTTACAGAAGACCTGAGGTCAAAAAGACCTGTCAAATACATGCCGCTATCCTTGTTCTCTTATGGCAAAACTTGCTGCCTATTTCTGTGCATGTCATGATGGGATTCAGAAGATGAGTTAAGAGGAAATTCAGTTGGTTTAATGAATATCATCCTTTCCCCTTCATCTTAAAAGTTTATTATATAAGCTTTGGAAAATACACAGAAGAAATTTACTTGTAATCCCTCCATGTGTACTCCTTAGAAACTCAGAGTTTTTAAGTTTTTTAAAAAAAGGTACAGGAAGTAATGTTTGTTCATTCTATCCTAGGCCTCTTTTAAGAACCAAGTGAATGTTTACTGTTAGTATCTTTGTAATTAGGAAGGATTTACAACATCAGAAAGGTAGTTTCCTTTTAATTTTCTTCTATGCCAAAGCCAGTTAATTTTTTTTTTTTAAATGGAAGTTCCCCACATTGCCACCATTCGAAAAAAACCAGATAATTCAATATCTTTCTCTCATGAATGCTATAAAGACAAAACAGATAACTGGAATGTTTTGCCTTCAGTTTTCCAAATAGCTGGTAGAAATAGCAGTTTTTGAAATAGTTACTTAAAAATGGTCTTGGGTCTGGGACTGAGGCTGTAGCTCAGTGGCAGAGCACTTGCCTAGCATGTGTGAGGCACTGGGTTTGATCTTTAGCACCACATGAAAATGAAACAAAATAAAGGCATGCTGTCCATCTACAACTACAAAAAAAAAAAAAAAGGTCTTGGAGCCGACAGTATAGCTCAGTAGTATACTGTGCTTGCTTAGCATGTGCAAGGACCAGGGTTTGGTCCCCAGCACACGCAACACAACACACACGTTAATAATGATTCTTAATATTTTGGGATAAGTATTAATTTGATTCATGGTTAAAAGTAGTATCTCTGGCTTTTATTTATGAAATCCCAGAAACATAAAAAATTGGGAGGGGATTTGCTTTTGAAAAATATATTTTAATGCTTTGGGAAAGTGAAGATAAAAAACATGGGGCTGGGGATGTGGCTCAAGCGGTAGTGCGCTCGCCTGGCATGCGTGCGGCCTGGGTTCGATCCTCAGCACCACATACAAACAAAGATGTGTCTGCCGAAAACTAAAAAAATAAATATTAAAATAAAAAAAAAAACATATTCATCTTTTCTATTAACTGGTAAAAAAAAATAAGGAATGCTTCATGAATTTGCATGTCATCTTTGCACAGGGGCCATACTAATCTCTGTATCCTTCCAATTTTAGTATATGTGCTGCCAAAGCAAGTACTCGTATAAAGGTTTTGTGTGTGACCAAAACAAAAACACTTCAGCACAGATATATACTGGATCTTAGCAACTGAGTGGTTGATCCTTAGATCATGTAGCGCTTAGTAAAAAGCATTTTGTGCTAATTAACCCAATCCACTATGCATGGAGAAATTGTTCTTGTTCAACACAATATTTAACAGGACTCATAATGTATTTTAATTAACACATTATAAAAAGTTATACACCATGTAGAAAACATGGAAATGCCTGGAATTTTTATGTGGCAAACTCTCCCTTACTTGAGTAAGTAGAGCTTAAATGCTGACAAATATGTATTTTTTCTACTTAAAAAATGATGCAGCCTGAGAAATGTGGTTTCTAAGACAATTCTGAAGATATTCAGTAGGCTGGAAGTGGCTCAGAGTCTTAATGTTGAAGGGCAGGCAGGAGAGACTGCCTTGTCAATCACCATGGGAGGCTGACCCATGAAGTTATTTCAGCCTTTCTGGTTGTACTTTAGTTACAACAAAGTCTTCCTGAATCCTATTATTGTAATGAGCAATAAATAAGACAAAGTTCCAGTGTTTATAAAATAAGAATAGGTTAGTCTGATTGTTGTAGGTTAAAAGATTTCAAGAGTTTGCCGATTTCTGGGAAACTTTAAAGGACATTTATGTATTATAGAACATATTTGCTTTTTGGCAAATCTTCAGAAGAGTTTTATGATGAAATAGAATGTGCATCTCTGTTAAAACATTCAAATCCCTAGTCACTGTAAACGAATAAAAGATGAAACGACTGTCTGGGAAAAAAAATTTGTAATACATGATCAAGGGTCAACATCTTAAATTTAAAAAAGCCACAGGCTGATTGTAATAAGGAACACTTCAATATAAAGTGGGCAAAAGGCAAATGAGAGGGCGGTTCAGAGATGAGAAAACCCAGACGTGAAAATCTTCTTAATGTAGTCAAGAAGATGAAAGCAATAATGAGATGTATTAACCCAACTGAAAAGGGAGTTATTCAGTTCTGGGTGGCTGCAGGGAAATGGCACCCCCCCCCTCCCGCTGGTGAGAGTGACTTACTGCCATCCTTAGATAGTAATTGGACAATGTCTATTAAGACAGGTAGTTTGACCTAGTCCTGTAGCTTTGGGGGCATCTACCCTAAGGAAATGGAAGCAGTAGTGTATAGGAGATGTGTACTAAGATGTTAAGGGAGCATTGCTTAAGATGTAAAAAAAAAAAAAGGAAACAATGAAAACAATACAGGAATGGTTTAATAAATCATGGCCCCTCTATCTGTGGAATATTATAGCTACTGAGAAGAAGGCTTAAGGGATGTCCATGAAGTATTTATTAGAGAAAAGCAAATCCAAACGAATCTATTAGCAGACTGTTTTCATTTTACCGCTCACGCTAGGGGGTATGTTTTTGTATGTTTGAAAAGGGGAAGAGAAGGACACAAACCAGGGCAGTTCACATTGGGTATTTATTTCAGGGGTGGGCAGAGGAGGGATTATGAAATATTTTTTTATATATCTTTGGATATTTCCCCTCTTATCATTATCACTGTATTTAATTTAAAAAAACATTCTTAGAGGCCATTCAAGCCATAATCTAAAGAAATGTCCAGACAGGAAAAGAATTAAATGGACAGCCTCTTAGAAACCTCCATGTCTGGAAGAAGTTAAACTTCATTGCATTATCTCAGACTTACAGAGAAGTCTGGTCATATATGGCTATTTCAGTTAATGTCCCCATTTAAAAATATTGCTCATGGGTTTGCTGAGAAGGTGCAGAATGGTTAATGGCAGGAATTATCAAAACAGCCCACTCACCGGGCTGGGACCCCCACAAAAATTGCTGCTGCAGCCTTCTGTGACTTAGAGAGAAGTCATTTGTGTCCCCTAGTACTGCTGCTGCTAAATCCTTGAGTCACAAAGAACACTGCCTTCTCTGAGTCAGGTGCATTGTTTAACAAGTAAGGATTCTAACGTTCACTTCTATCCAAAGGGTTCTGTGCTTAAATTGGATTTGAAATAATATATGATCTTAAATCTGTCTGTATTCTTCATGGCCTGGTTTCAGGAGAGCGGAGAGAAACAAATGCCTGTTTGATTATCTAGGTCAGTGACCTCCTCATTTTTTGCCATGGCCTAAAGAAGAAGTACTTTTCACCTGGTCATTTGGGATACATGAAAGTTTTACCAAAAAATACCTTAATATGCCCTAACATATTTTCTGTACTCTTTTTTTTTTTTTAATAAGAAAATGCTGGTTGTGATCCCTGCACCAATTCCAGGACTCACTAATGTGAGTCATGGTCTGCAGTTTGAAAGCCTTTGCTTTAGGTCATGCAAGTGACCTCACATCATGAAGGCAAAGGAAATCAGTGGAGCGTTATGGTTGGGCTTTTGCTCCTTTCTAGCAAGATCTGAGAAAACGTATTTTGTGTGTTTTTCCGTCTACCTTGACTCCTTCCCTTCCCTTCACTCGGCCCTCTCCATAGATCTGTCCCATACAGTTCCAAGGCAAATTGTTCCCTGGTACGTGTGCATGATAGCTGGGGCATGGCAGAGCAAGGACTGAAGACATTTCTCTCTGACAAGATTTGGCAATAGGATTCTATGCCCCAGGATACTTGGGCACTCTGGTTTCTCTTGTGTAACTATCCCTAGGGAGCTATAGAAAACTGCAACAGAGCTTTTTATGGGAATTCCTTGGACACTGGGAATCCACCTCTCCACCCACAGGGCAAACCAATGAGATCCAAATAAGTAATGAGGAATGTCGGCAGCTTGTGCAGTAGAGGCAAAGGAACACATTGGGGCTGCGTTTCTTCTCTTAATACCCTCCTTTTAAAAACAGATTGTTTTTAAATTGAGGTTAAATTTCATTGCTTCCTAAAACAGGAGTTTCAGCTGTAAAGGGCAGTGTAGTACAGCTGGTGTTGACTACCCACCCCTCAGCCTCAGGCATTTTCTGTTATTTCTACTGGGACTCTACTCAAACCAGGTGCTTTCTCAGTGGCCACATTCTTGTGGCCACGTGGGGGCGCCAGAGGCTGGCAGGTGACCCGACCTGTTCAAACGCTTACAGAGGGATTTTTGCATTGCAGCAGGGCAAACCCTTTCTTTCCTCTGGGTTTTGTCCCGCCTGGCTGTGGTACCAGAGGTGGAACCCAGGGCCTCACACATGCTAGGGAAGCACTGAGCTAACACCCCCAGCCCACAATAGTGTTTTTCAATCTGGAGTGAAGTTTTTCCCTCAGGGTACATTTGGCAATGTTAGGAGATTTTTGTTTTTAAATATTTATTTTTTCGTTTTAGGTGGACAATATATTTTACTTATGTGGGTCTGAGAATCGAATCCAGTGCCTCACACATGCTAGGCGAGCGCGCTACCACTTGAACCACATCCCCAGCCCCAAAGGAGATATTTTTAATTGTCACTTGAGGACAGGGGGAGGGTGCTATTGATATTTAGTGGGTTCAGGTCAGGGATGCTGCTAAACATCTTCCTAAGCACAGGCAGCCCCCACAACAAAGAATTATCTGTCCCCAAATTGCAATAGTGCTGAGGCTGAGAAACCCTGGCTTACAAAGAACCCGGCTGACCTGGCGGAAGAACTCTCATTCTTTATTTTTCCATTTGGAAAGTCGTTTTAAAGCTTATTTGTTAAAATAATATCATGGTTTTCCACTTGCAAGTAGAATTCAGCAAAATTCAAACAGGAGAAAATCTTTCCTTTGATGTTCTTCCCTTGTTCTTTTTTAAATGCTCTGTTCTGGAATAGACTCTCCTGTCTCTAACAGGACCCTGGGGCCATGGCACCTGGAGGGATACATTGCACCTCACTCCTTCCACCCACTCCCATGTCCTTAACATTTACTCATCCTATTTTCCAGCACGTGGGAATCTGTTAAGAATAATGCAGGCTCACAAAGCTTCCTTTAACTTCTTAGCCAGACCCCCGACCTCCTCCTTATAGAATGTGAACAAGTTCTCTCAGCAGACAGGATCCAAAGGAGTCAAAAGTTGGGGATTTCAGTCTTAAGTGAGGAGACTGATGCTTTGGCAAATAGTTGGGGGATCCACTTTTGGGCAGAAAGAGAGGAATTCACACTCTTAACCATTATGCTGCAGTCTCCCCTGCGTGCAAACACACACATACACACAGACGGGGTGGGTCAAGGTGTTCAGTGTTGTTGTTTTTCTGGTTTCTCAGTGCTGCAGTCCGGCTGCAGCAAAATAACCGGGGGGTGACGAACAACTTGTGTACGTTGATACAGCAGGAGTAGGAGCCGTTTATTGCAGGACAGGAGCAGTATTTATACATTCCACACAGCTTATCTAATTAGCATAAACTAGATACATCAGTCAACCAATAAGGAATCTCCACACTTAAAGGCTCGCTGGTGTTACTTCACAAACCACTCCCTCTGGCATTTTGCTAGGCGCCATCCAGACTTGTTTACAGACTCTAACATCTCAGGGTCCCTAGCAAAAGTAGGGCAGGGCCTGTTGTGGAGGTCAGTAAAATATTCGCTAGATCCAGGGGAGCTGTCTCAGGCTGCTGTGTTCTGCACTCTGAAGAAATAGCAGGGAATGGGCCTGTAGAGGATTTCACATGGCTATGGTACCTGGGCAGTGTGAGATAAGCTTGTTACCCTAGGATCTTCCAGAAATCTGTGCCACTGACCTTGTTCCAGATGAGAACAGGGGTTGGGATTCCGATGACCTCACAGCTCAAGTACACTTGGGCACCAGTGACATTCCAGATGTCCTTGGGTGGCGTCACAATGGAAGGACCTACAAGAGAGGGCACAAAGCCAAACCAATTTTTAATAGCTCTGAACATTATTTGGCATCTTAGGAACTAAATACTTAATGTTTATGAAGCTGTCCCCTCTGAGGATATTTGAAATGAATTTCAAAGACTAGTCTGGCTTCTTCCTGACACCAGTCTGATTTGAGTCTCCACTTTGGGAATGCAGGAATCTTAACAAGCAAACCA